TGTTTTATTTATTTATTTATTTATTTATTTATTTATTTATTTATTTATTTATATTTATTTATTATTCTTTTTAATGTTTATTTATTTTTGAGACAGAGAGAGACAGAGCATGAACGGGGGAGGGTCAGAGAGAGAGGGAGACACAGAATCTGAAGCAGGCTCCAGGCTCTGAGCTGTCAGCACAGAGCCTGACGTGGGGCTCGAACTCACAGACCGTGAGATCATGACCTGAGCCAAAGTTGGACACTCAACCGACTGAACCACCCAGGCACCCCAACAATGAATAGTTTTTTTCAATACAATTTTTAATATATTTTTTTGGTGTAAGTATGTCCCATGCAATATTTGGGATGTACTTATACTGAAAAATTATTTATTATTTATCTGAACTTCAAATTTAACAGTGTGTTTCATATTACTATTTGTTAAACTTGACCACCACACCAGTAGCTGAATTGGGGGGTGGCCCCATTGAGGGTAGATCTGGGTGTGCAGGCCTCCTGGGACCCACCATCAGGTGCCCGACCCCTTGGAAAACTGAGCCCTCCTTATCCTCAACTACCTCCAGTGTCCTGGTCCTCTAAGCCCAGCCACGAGCCAGTCCTGAGGATGAAGCAAGGGAGGTCTGGATGCTAAGCAAGGCCCCCCAGAGCTGTGGCAAATTCTGGATCTTCCCGCAGCAGCCCTGGGGAGAAGACACTGCCTGCCATAGGAGGCCCATAGCGCTCCCAGCAGAGTGCTGGGACTAGACTGGTTTGTGACTTTCACAATCTGCTGGCCGAATGAATACATCATTGAGAAGCCAGCAAATCTGTGAGGAGAAATGGTCATAATCATCTTTGTGGTTTAAGAAATACAAATTTAAACAAGAAAACATTTTTGCCTATCAAATTAGCTAAAATTTGAAAGATAGTAAGGGCAGCTGACTTTATGGGTGCTTAGGTCATGCTGGGCACTTTGGGAGGGATTCCCTGATGTAGTACCCACAGCAACCTTTGCTGCTGGTTCTGTCATTCTCATTGCTGATAGGGACTGAGGCTTAGTGACGCTAAGCAGGTGGCGTAGCCATGAGGCGGGAGAAGGGCTGAGGCCCCACACCCCAGCCTGCACCCTTCCCACACACCCTGGGGTAGAGGGGCTGGAGAAATGGCTGCAGCCTTTCGGTAAGGTAAGTCAACAATACCTAACAAAATTGAGATGCATACCCTCATCAACCCAGAGTTGCTCATCAATAGGAGCCTATTAAAATAAATTATGTCACATTCATGCAAATGAGGTGTATTGGGAAGGGTGAGTATGTGCGTGCATGCACACAGGCATGTGTGTGTATGTAAAGAGAGGCCATGACGACATAGGAGCATCGTTGAGAAAATAGAAAGTTGTGGAACAGGATTCCATTTTATTTTGGTAAAGTGTCCATATATAAGTATCTATACTATTTTAGCTATACTTTCTACTTATATTTATCTATATTATCTATACATTTGTATCTCTATATCTAATCACAAAATCTGTAATGAACATGTATTATTTTTGAAGTCCAAACATTACCATATTTGAGTCTCTCTGAACTTCTGCTCATTCTTCAGAGTCCTTGTCCCACCGCACAGCCCTGGTTCAGTTTGCCTCAGGGCCTGGAACGCTGCTGTCCCCAGGACCTAGAGTGCTGCCTGCCTTCCTCCCTCATGATACCCATTGAATTGTCCTTTTCCTTCAAGATTGGCTCACTATTCACCCACCACTGCTGTCTCTCCTCCCCGTGAGGTTCCCAAATTTGCAGGTTCTGGGCAATCTTGTCTCAAAAGCATCTAGATCACATCCACAGGCACAATTATGCACTTTTGTAAAGCCCTCTGTGGTACCCTCGCTGTGTCTTGTGTAAGCAATAACAGACTGCAAATATGTTGGAAGCAGGTGTAGATCCACTCCTGTGGACTTCCCTTCAGCTTTCTAGCAAACCCCAGGGCAGGTGCTGGCCATTGCTGAACAGAGAGGCAGAAACATAGTCAAGAGCTACTTCTACTGTGCCCTTGCCAGATAGGATGCAAAAGAGCAGTAGAAAGGTTTCCCTGTAAACATTTATGGTTTGCATCTCTTGGTCTGTATTCCTTGAATCTATTAACCTATGAAGTTAAAGATAATTTTACAAAAGCAACACATTGTAGAAATATTGAAAAATACAGAAAAAAACATTAAAAAATGAAAGTAAAACACTTTTAATTCTACCCCCTTATCTTCCCTTTTGATGAAACATATAAAGTAAAATAGGAATAGAAAAGATCCTCTTGCTGTCCCAGAGTTAAACCCAGTGCATTAATGACTGGGCACAAAGCAGGCTAGACTTTCGTTTCTATGCATACACTAAATGTAATATCTCTCCATATTAATAGCTATCTATCATCATCATCTTGGTAGAAACAGAAGCTTGTATTCTCATATTCTCAATAGTTCGTGTGTCCAGAGCCCAAGGAGTTTCTACCATGCTCTCTCCTTTGTATCTGCTGTCAAAAAACTCTATGAAGTATGAAAAGATGCTCAGGGGGTGCCTGGGTGGCTCAGTCAGTTAAGCATCTGACTCTTGATTTTGGCTCAGGTCATGATCTTGCAGCTCGTGAGATCGAACCCTGTGTTGGGGTCTGCACTGACAGTGTTGAACCTAGTTGGGATCCTCGCTCTTCCACTCACTCTCTGCCCCTCCCCTGCTCTCACATCCGTGTCCTCTCTCTCTCTCTCTCTCTCTCTCTCTCTCTCTCAAAATAATAAACATTATTTTAAAGTTAAAAAAAAGAAAAGAAAAGGAAAGATGCTCAACATCACTAGTCATTAGAGGAGTGCAAGTCAAAACCATGGGATACCACTTCATTCTGATTAGGTTGGCTATTTAAAAAAACCCAGAAAGGGGCGCCTGGGTGGCTCAGCTGGTTAAGCATCCGACTTCAGCTCAGGTCATGATCTCACAGTTTGTGAGTTCGAGCCCCGCATCAGGCTCTGTGCTGACAGCCTGGAGCCTACTTCGGATCCTGTGTCTCCCTCTCTCTCTGCTCCTCCCCTGCTCATGCTCTGTCTCTCTCTCTCCTTCAAAAATAAATAAAAACATTAAAAAATAAAAATAAAAACCCCCCAGAAAATAACAAGCGCTGGCGAGGATGTGGAGAAATTGAAACCCTGTACGTTGCGAGTGGGAATGTAAAACAGTGCAGTCACTGTGGAAAGGGGTATGATGATTCGTCAAAATATTATACAGAATTACATGTGATCCAACAATTCCACTTTTGGGTACACACCCCAAAGAAGTGAAAGCAGGAACTCAAACAGATATTTGTGCACTCGTGTTCACAGCAGCATTATTCACAGTAATCAAGAGATGGAAGCAACCTAAGTGTCCATTGAAAGATGAATGGACAAACTGAATGTGGTATGCACATATGATGGAATATTATGCAGCCTTAAAAAGGAAGGACGTTTTGAGACATGTTGCACATGGATGTGCCTTGAAGGCATAATGCTAAGTGAATTAAGCCAGTCACAAAGGACAAATATTGTGTAATTCTTCTTATATGAGGTTCCTGGAGAAGTCAAATTCAGAAACAGAAAGTAGAATGGTGGTTCCAAGGACTGGGCTGGGGGCTTGGGGGAATAGGGAGTTCGTGTTTAAGGAGTACAGAATTTCAGTTGGGAATGATGAAAAAGTCCTGGAGATGGATGGTAGTGATGTTTGCACAACAATGTAAGTACTTAATGCCACAGCACTGTGCACTTAAAAATAGTTAAAACAGTAAATTTTCTGTTTTTTTAATTTAAATTTAAATTTTTTAAAAGTTTATTTATTTTGAGGAAGAGAGAGAAAAAGAGAGAGAGAGTGAGCGGGGGGGAGGGGCAGAGAGAGAGGGAGAGACAGAATCCCAAGCAGGCTCCCTATTGGCAGCGCAGAGTCTGAGGCGGCGGGGCTCGATCGCACGAACCGCGAGATCATGACCTGAACCGAAATCAAGTCAGATGCTCAACTGACTGAGCTACCCAGGCGCCCCTAAGTTTTATGTTCTGTATATTTTACCACACACACACACACACACACACACACACACACACAATGGCTTTGTGAAGGAGTCAAGGGTGGTTTTCTGTCCCACAAAGTGTGTTCTTCTAGTAATAAAGCCTACTGTTTTTTGAGTCTTCAGTATGTGCCAGGCAGTAAACAATTGATATGCATTATTTTATTTCCTTCTTTCAACTACCCTAAGGTAGGTACTACATTGTGCAGAGCAGAAAAGTCAGGCATGAAGAAGTTTAGGTGATTTGCCCACAGTCTCCAGGAACAGTCAGGACTGGAACTTGGGGTGGTTGGCTTCAGAGCCCGATCTTTAGCCTCATGCTGTACCCTCTTTCTGGTAAAAGACAAATCCATTGGCCAAGTAGGCCACAACTCTCGGTAAGGGGCTAAAGGCAGGTTCTGAAACGGTGAGCACCAGCGGAGTCTTGCATTCACGGGATGTGGATAAATCCCGTGCATTTTGACCAGTTTTGCCTTCCTGAGCCCTTCAAAGGGAAGTTTTAGGCAGAGATGACAGAGGTTCCCTGTACTTTTCACAGCACACTATATCACTACAGCTGCCGTCACTTCTCCCCTGTGGCCTCCCTCCCTTCTCTTAGAATCCACTGCCTTTTTGACATGAAAAATGTACTATAATGAGTCTACTGGCTAATTAATTAAAAGGGAAAAAAAATCCCAATCTTCAAATATGAAATGATTAATTACATAAGCATTAACGCCTCTGCACCCTCAGAACGGCACGTCTTTAATTTAGAACTTTTCCAGCACATTATTTTCTGCCGACGTGCGTGTTTTCTGCCCGTACAAGGCCAGCTTCTCGTACACCCCAGTCCATTTCACAGCAAATGGCCCCAAATGGTGTTTATCCCGTTCATTAGGAGACTGTATCAATTAGGCAGGCCTGGCTGAGCTGCCTGTCCAGGCCTGCACCCCCTGGGCCCGAGTGCCTGTGTTCACACCCACAAGCCGGCTGGGACACCCCAGGCCCCTCCCCACTGAGGAGGGGCCACCTCACCGCTTAGGGGCCCTGATGCTTTTCACAAGATCAGGGCAGAGCTCTGAGATCAGGAAGTGTTGTTGTGTGATGCTTACACTTCATGGATTTTAAAAAGTGTATTGTCTAGCTCAGACACCTGACTCCAAGCTGCTGGCTTCCTGAATCTTTTAGTTTTTTTGTGTGTTTTGTTTTGTTTATTTTGAGAGAGGGAGAGAGAGAGAGAAAGAGCGTGAGTGGGGGAAGAGCAGAGAGAGGGAGAGAGAATCCCAAGCAGGCCCTGCACCACCAGTGCAGAGCCCGATACAGGGCTCAAACCCGAAAACCATGAGATCACGACCTGAGCCAAAATCAAGAGTCAGATGCTTCACTGGCTGAGCCACCCAGGTGCCCCCAGTTTTTCGTTTTTAACCAGAAGAACCTTACCCCGCTCTTCTTCCCCTGCTTCCCAGCCCGCACTGCTTGAGAGGTCTTTGTTCACCTTACTCAGGCCTCCTCTGCTTGACCTTTGTCCCTTGCAGGAAGTGAGGTCAGGGCTTCAAGGCCTGCTCCACAGGAGCTGCTGGGGTCTTAGGCCTGGGTGGGCAGCAGGGAGGCCTGTGTACTGTCCCTTCCCTTGTACCTGTTGTCTGTGGGCCGAGACCACTTTTCAGGGGATTCGCCTAGGCCCAAGAGTGGCGCTCGAATCCGCTGGCACGAGCTGGTTGCTGACCAATCAGCACGTGAAACATTTCTCAGAGGAACAAGGTGCCACTTCACAAGTGGAAGTGTTGAAACGCGCTGAATTACTGGACGGAGTGGTTGTCTACAACAGGGAGGGAATAGAAGAACTTGTTTATACGTCTGGCTGTAACAATCATAATCTGACGGGAGAAGCCTACAGAGGCAAAGCTCTATGTGGCTCCAAGATGGAGATACTAATGGAGGACACATGCTGAGAATGACCCTTCCAATTTCCAGAAGCATAAAATGGTATTTTTTCCCCATAGAAATTGTGAAAAAGAGAAGCTATTATGGTTCAACATTTAGACAGGCATTAAAGCACTTTGGGTCTGAATTGAAATTATTACTATTTTTTTTACTCCTGTGGCCTGAATTCATCAGCAAATGAGTGGGATTTCCTACTTTCGGGATTTGAACAAACAGGAAGGTTGTTCTAAGTGTCTCCTTTCTCTTTCCCACTTTTTTTTTAAATGTTTATTTATTTTTGAGAGACAGAGAGATATAGAGTGTGAATCGGGGAGGGGCAGAAAGAGAGGGAGGCACAGAATCCGAAGCAGGCTCCGGGCTGTGAGCGGTCAGCACAGAACCCGACGCGGGGCTCGAACCCACGAACCTGGAGGTCATGACCTGAGCCGAAGTCAGACGCTTAGCCAACTGAGCCACGCAGGTGCCGCTCTTTCTCACTTTGATCCCCTTAAATCTGAGCTGTCCAATATCGCAGCCATCAGCTGTAGGTTATCCAAAGAAATATTAAAATAATGTAAAGTTACAAATTAAATTCATCAGCTCTGCCAGCCACATTTCAAGTGATCGACAGCCACACGTGGCTGGCACAGACCTACAATATTACCCTCACCACAGAATGTTCTATTGTACTGCTAATCTACCTTTATTATCAAAGCTAACTGTGCATTTTGGGGTAGTAGTTATTAAACAGCATTTTTTGTAGCCTATATGTAATTTAATTAACAAGTCACTGAAACACTTAGTAGTTTCCCCCCAAATTGCATCTTCCCAAGACCCCACCACACTCAGTGACCCTACTGACTCAGTGCTCCAGCTACAAGGCTCCGTGAAGTTGTTTCTTATGTGGTCCTCCTTAGAAACGAAAAGTTCTCCATAATTTTCTAAATCATAGGTCTGCAAGCCCAGGAGAGGGGTATAAACGTCTGATGGCAACAGACCAGCATCCTCAGCCAACTGCCTGACTGTGTCAAGGCCATTGCTGCTGTCCCCTTGCCAGCTGCCTCAGGGACCACCTCAGATCCTAATTGGCCTGACTCCACCCATTCCCCTGACATCCTCTTATTGGCCGGACAGTGTCAATGTGGCAAAAACATGGCCTGAGGCCATAAGGACAAAACTGCCTTTGTGCCTATGAGGTGCTGCTAGATGGCTGTGGGCCTCTCGTGGTGGTGGCCATCCACTCAGGTTACACATGGCTCTATCAGGGGAATTTAATGGAAAGGGATTTCTTCGCTACAGTATGTGCCATTGGTGTAAAAGTAGGTTTGGTCTTTTTTGCCTCGTTTTTAATTCTGAAGCATAGAATCCTTACGGAGAGTACTTATTCTTGCATCATTTAACTTAGAATCCTAACGTGCCGCTCGCCCCGACGCTTGCAGGATAAATGGCACTTTTACAACCCACCGGAAATTAAGCGCTGTTTGACTGGCAGCATTACAGCTCTCTTGGAAAAGCCTGTGGCCACCGCTCTCAGTTCTTGAATGTGATCAGCCCCCAGCCTTCCCAGAGCTTGCAGGAAGTCGGGCCCCTGGCCTGGTTAGTATCCCTGCCTCGAAACCTTGTCCTGGACACTAAACGTTATTGGCTGGACAGGTTTTCCGATCCAAAGGCAGGTACCTGTGTGGAGCCTCATCAGGCCCTCCTAGGGAGGGAATGATGTGGGGACCCGTGGCACTCCAGAGGCCTCCTAGACCTTCTCCAAGGCTGGCCCTGGGATTGCTGCCTGCCTTGTCCATTTCTGGGCCGGGGAGGCTTCCCTGTACCTGTTTGTGTCGTGGGTAGAGTCTGAAAGGCCCTCCTGTGGATGAAAACCCTCTGCAAATGAAGTCTCATCAGCCTATTGAAAAGCAGTAATACTCCATTGTTTCTGAAAGAATCCTTGCAATTAGAGGAGGCAGAGGAGAAATTATTCCAGAACTAAGTTATTAGATCCATTCCACGGAATATTTTTTAAAAACCAAACTCGTTTTCCCGAGAGAAGATTTAATGCAATCGCTCTCTCGTTTAAAACACCTGATGTCACCACTCTGCCTCTAGCAGCAGGCTGGCTCCCGAAAACAAGGGGATATTGCTGTGATGAGAACATGGCCGGGGGTGTGTGCCAGGCAGGACAACGCCAAGAAGCCAAAAACAACAAAAGGAAAAATGATGAAGTGAGATCCACCCAGATGGTAAACACAGCACCAGAGCTCAACAAACACACACACGGCCCTCCTATGGTGGGAGGAAGGGGGGTAGCAGCCGGGCAGGTCAGTCTAGAGATGAACAGAAACTGCGGGGGGTCCCGGAAGACTGGGCACTAACTGGGGTGATCACCACGGTAAGTCCGGGAGCCCCCGTTTGGTTGGATCTCTGCCCCAGCCAAGGCTGGGGGATGGGTGTATCAGAGAAAAGGGTTAACAGGATCTGGCAAAAGCCATCCTGTCTGTCCCGTTGCTGCTGCGAACTATCAGCAATGGTAATAGCAGCTACAGTTGCACGAGTGCTTACTATATTCTAGGCACTCAGTCCTCACAGAGTAGATACTGTCCCCATTTTATAGACAAAGTAAGTGACAGTGAAGTTAAGTGAAAAATCCTGTGGCAGGTACACAAACCACTAAACCCTGGTGAGACTTAGCATCACAGAAATTTCAATTCACTGGGTTAACAGGGTCCTCGTGGCACACGATGGAGCAAGAAAGGTGCTTCTCATGATTTGGTAGCAGTTGTTACGAGCTTTTTAACCTATATACTGTGTTCAAATTCAGTAGTTACCTGTGTTATTCATATTAGTCATTTATTTTGATTAAGGAAAAGGAATTGGTTTAGAGAGACACTTAATGTAATCTATTCTTAAAATTGTGGAGATTTTTGTAATGCTCTCAATGTTTCTTTTTAGTGGGTGTGGGAGAGCTGGGGACAGGAAGGAAGGTGGGGTGTTAGAAGGCAAACATAGAAAAGATTCTTCATAAAAAAAGAAAACACGTCTAGAAATGATTGCTCCATAAACAAAACATGAGTGCACACAGTAATTTCATGTTCTCGTTCCACCCACTCAGTTGTTCTTAATGACTCAAGAACAGAACTGCCTGGGCAGATTTACAGGCTCTGCGTTCCTGACATCTGTGCCGAAACAAGGCTACGGTTGTGTGTTCGCAGGGCGCTCACTTCTGCTCGGGGGAGAAAACACAAACACCTTGATTTGAATTTTACCTTTACTATGATTTACATGAATAGAGATGCAGTTGTTCTCCACTCTGGATCCATGGACTGTTAGGATAGAAGAATCGGTGCCAGGAAAGAGGACAGGGTACCCCTGAGCTTGGGAGTTGAATGGGATGTGATGATCACGCAATCATGTGCTAAGAACCACGTCTTCTCCAGCTCTCCTCACTGATAGAAAGCCAGGCTTCCACCTAAGTCTCTAGCTGGAAATCTTTGGGTTGTTTGGATCGGTGCTTTGGCAAATTCTTCTTCTAGGTCAGAGTCAGTGGAGGGCAGGGTTGTGGCTGGGGGTTATAGGCCCAGGGCAAGTGGTGCTTGACTTGGGCTTCCCGAGTTTCTTAGCTGTGATTTGGGGAATGTCATACTCTCTCCCCTTCTTTCAAGGGGGGAGAACTGCCTTCCATTAGACACTTTTCCCAGATGTATAACTTCCTCCTCCCCTTCCCCCCGCTCTCTACCCCCATGGCCTTGCTTCCCAGACTGTAATAGTGATAGTCAGAGCCTGACCATTTCTTGGAAGAAGACCTCCAGGCTAACCTCTCTGTGCCTCCACCCCAAGTCGGCCATCTAGAATCACCTGGCATCCTGTGCCCATGTACTAGTGAACACAGGCTGGTACCTTTGCTACTGGATAACATGATAACCCTATGATATATATCCTTCATTTCATCTCTGAGACATGAGTGGGGAAGTCACTTTCCCAAGGTAACTAAACTTGTCAGTGGAAAGAACTGGGATTCAGCCCTAGGCTGGTCTTATGTTCTGGCCAAATGTTCTAGCCAAGTACCTGTCACCCTCTTTTAGAACGTGATCTGAAGTTAGACCTGTGACTCTGTGTTTCTGTGTAGCAGAAACTAGAGAGATGTCACATCTCTACCGTTTGAGAATCTAAGGCGGAAGGAGAGGCAAGTAAAATTATGGATTTGGCATTTGAAAATGATGTGAGTTTTTATTTTCATGCTGATGTTAAAAGGTTGGCTATTATTTTAGTGGGATACTCCTCTCTTTGGCCTTCGAGATTTCAAGATAGATTCCACATCTTTGGGGGCTGTTTTCATGCTGGGTTCTACCTGACAGTTCTGATCTGTTGTCCCACAGCCTTACCTAATATTTACCACTCTTGGGGAAAGGAGAAAGGAAGAGGGAAATGGTACAGGGAGATTGGGTGGCGTTTGAGGAAATGGAAAGATTTTTAGGTTACAATTTTAATTGAAACCAGCTAACTTTCTACAAGCACAAAATCCAATGGACTTAAAATTCTAATGCTTTATATATCATGCTAAATTAATTTTTGGTTCATATCAGTGACTAGGTTCAGTTTTATAATTTTTGCTCAATAATATTTTCCATAGAGACGTCTATATATTTACATATTTTCTCTTAATTTTTTTCACACCATCTTATTTAATTGTTGCAGTCACCCTGTTAAGTTGAAATTTTTATTCTGTGGCCGAGAAAGGTTGAGGAACTAGGATACATAAGTCCAGTGCAGAGCTGACACCTGGACATATTAACTTTTATTGGCTACGGAGCACCCATGTTTTGATATTGGTTAAAGTTACATAGGTTTTTCTAAAGACAGAAATTTCTACTACCTGAAAAGAAAATGATCCGTCAACATTTACCTTCTTGAAACCCAGTTTTTTTTCATTTCTCTTTTCACTTGATCATCAGTTTCCATGGCCATCAGAATGCTCATGTAAATAACTACCCAGGATGGTCACTCATTTCTCACAGCAATGTGTGGAGGTGATGTTTG